TTGAGCTTCTTGGTGAAACTCTAAAAATGTAAAGTACAGCTAGGATGAAAGCCCTTCCCCACCTCCCCAAGCTTCAGTGCCTCCCTGCAGGTGAGGATCTGCTGGGTCGTGAGCTGGCAAAGCCACTCACGTGTCCAGACCTACAAAGCCATTCTCTCCTGGCCAGTGTTAGGGCTCACTGCCACACCAGGGCTTGGCCAAGTCCTTTACCCACACCAGGGCAAGGCAGCAGTTCTATGAAGCCACAAAATGAGACAGGCTTAGGCCATTCACACCCACTACACGTTTACTGTTCCTCTATTGTCCATAGGGTTCTACTCTGGACATGTTAAGAGAGGCCAGTCCTTGGAGAAAGACAGCATGCTTAGAAAGGCAAAGGGTTAGAGTTAAGAGAGGAAGACACTCAACAAGACAGACTGACACAGTGACTGCTGCTAAGTGCTTAAGCGTGTTGGACACGGTGAGGATGGCAGGCAAAGGACAGGGCAGGTTTCAGATCCCTTGTTCGAGTCATACTCAACTCGAAGGTGCATTAACAACTGTAAAAGCCGGACAACGAATAAGGAAGACCAAGGAACTTGTCCCTGGGAGTGACTGTGTTAACAAAGAATACTGACCATACCATGGGATGTCAGAAGAATGAAGAAATCAGACCTGGAAGAAGACCAGCCAGATGCTCGTTAGATGTGAAAACTGGAAAAGTGCATCTCATGGACTCTGGCTGCATTAGCAGGAGGCATTCAAGCCCCAGAGGACATCATGACGGCCGTGCAAAGGAGAGCCTGCAGTAAATGGACTGGCCTCAAACTCAGCAACCACTGGGATAGTGCAGGACCTAGGAGAGTTTCTTGCTATTGTGCACTGAATCGACAGCACCCGATAACCATCAAGCAAGACTAAACATTCTTCATAGGGATTAAACACAACCCCGTCCTAAGGGCATGACTGCATGCTACTGGTCCTGCAGGTACCAGGGCTGAAGGCCTCAGCAGTATCATCCTATCGGAGGAAGACCCCACAGCAGTAGGGTGGGGAGGAGCACCAGGTTGGGGAGACGGTGGGAAACGCTCTTCTAATTCAGGTTCCTCGAGCCCACACACACATTCCCAGGCTTCAGTGCAGCCAAGTTGCATGAACTGTCTGCTACCTTTACTTCCAGCTGCCACAGGCCCTGCTCATGGCAATGCCAGTTTCAGGGCACAGCGTCCTCTGCGGGATTTTTTTAATGCTTCCGTTTTGTTCAGATCCCCAGACCCTTCTGGATGAATTCAAATCTCCGACCTCTCTCTGAGTTAGCTGGCAAGAATAATAGTCGTTTGCATCCTGCTACCTTTCACATCCTTTCATTTAAACCACTCCAAGAGCCAGAGCCTGCCTTCCCTCCTCCGACAGAAATCCGTTATGGCTATGTTTCAAGGGGCCAATCAATGCCATGCAGCTTTTACACATTTCATAATCTAGTAGCTAAATGACTGACTTTAACCCCATTTTTGCTATACCTCCTTTGGTTTTATTGTGTTCATAATCATGTCTCACCCTGGGCCACTCAGCACATGTTCTTCTTTTACTTACCACCTGCCTGCTCCCCATTTTCCGTAATCTCTCATGTGCTGGAGTAAGAGCCTTGTGCTACCGTCTGGGCAGAGTGCCTCTTCCTCTCCCACTCCTGTTTATGCTGCAGCCACTTTCTGCATCGACCTAGATACTACCATCTATATTGAAATCTCTCCGTAGATATCACTCCAGTCTTTCCAACCCACTTCTTCTCATCTTTTATGTACACGTGAAGTCTGCATCAAGCTTCAAAATACATCACTTTCCCAAATAATTGGTTTTATAGCTCCAAAATTATCCCTGACCTAGATTTTTAAAAAAAATATCAAAATACACAGGACAATAAGCATTACAAGACTGAATTTTTCCTCTCAAAAAGCGACCTGGTTATTGATCAACTTTCCTTTGGTCTCTTAAGTTTTATAGGTTATCATTTATATACCACTTTCTCATCCTGCTTCACTTCTCATATTACACCAATTTGACAGATGTTATGAATTGTGGGAAGTTATTATTCCAGGCTTGGTCTGAACAAGGCCTTTGGGTTCTAGACTCTTCCATGATGTTTCATCCCACTATTCAATTCTACATGCAAAGCAGGACAAAGCGACTAGGTAGATGAGAAGCAAAAAGATAATCCTCTACTTCAAGTCAGAAATATTTCCCGCCTCTTCAGTTATGGGTGAGGCAGAAAACGTTGTTGATCTCACACAGTTGTTTCCAGAATGCATGCTTTTCCTACGGCTTTCTCATACCATCCTCCACGTGACGGTGACAGCATAAGGCAGGCAAGACATGTAGGCAGGCAGGCAGCAAGTATCAGTAGGTGACCATTTAGATGACAGAGAAAAGAAGAAAACATGTTAGAAGAACAGAGCCTGGAAACTGACTTATTAGCATCACCAACCTTCAGACTTTCACATTTCAGAGACTTGAGAGGCCAAAGATACAGAGTGGTGATGCTGCAACAGGCCCATCAGTTAAGTGTCCTGCTCTGTCTCCCTTACAGCAGTCTTTTTACCCACCAGTCCACTCCAAAGAGAATCCACACTTAAGCCCAGGAGTAATTAGGATTCACAGTCTTTCTAAAAGATCTACTGCAGGTTCATGTTAATTAGTTAACACGAGCATCTGGGTCTTCCCAGTTCCACTCATGAAAAATTCAATCTATAAAGACCAATTTAATAGGGAAACCTTAAGAATGAGTTCTCCTCTGGTCCCTGCACACACAGCCCATTCACTTAAATGACAAAGCTATAAAAATAACCAAAGTCACAACATGTGTTATCATTTTTATATCCTTCCTTAGAGTTGTTTAATTTCTCAAGACACCAGTTTGACAGAGATGATAATAAACTGTGTAAGGGAAATTATTCATGAGGAGATTCCTTAAGAAAAATGCTTTCTCACAGTTCTGAGAAAATCTAAGTAAAGCAATGATTGGATGTTCAATGCTTTGTTCATTCCATCATATTTCAGATGCCTCCAGTTTTAGGTCTAGGAACTAAAAGAGCTAGCTGGAGGATGGCATTTTCTATTTTTTCCCCCCCTCCTCTGCCTAAATTTCAGCTTGGTAACAGCCTCTCCCCATTCCTTTTCCTTACTTCACATTTCGTGTAAGAATGCGTATGCGCGTGTGCGTGTGTGTGTGTGTGTGTGTGTAGAAAATAATGAAATAAGTATTTCTTAAGTTCACTTCACCTTCTTTCATGCATTTCCAACATCCTTATTCCTCTTAAGGGCCCCTGACATTGCAGTTTTGGCAAGAAAAATCCCTCACCAAAATGTGCTACTGAAAGGTCTTGTTCTGTACAATCTCTGTATCTCTCAGTTACCGGGGAGGTGAGGCTCCCTTTAAGTGGGTTGCTGTGTGGACATACGTGACTTAACACCCCGAGGAAACAAAGCTTAAGGACCCCTTTCTAAGGAAGGGTGCTCACGTAATCAGTCACGTTCCTGTAAAATGTGCCAAGCCAATACATTTTTATATTTGCTTAAAAAGAGGATTCCCCACAATTACATAAGCTTCCTTCAGACCCCAAATTTACATCGTCTCCTGGTTGGGATGAAAAACTCCTATGTAACGAACCATCATATACTACCCTACTTAAATCAGAACCAATGAATCCAGAGGGGCTTGTTGTTGATTTCCAAATAAACCAGTTAAATGTGTAATAAGGACAATCTAGGGAGAAAAATCTCTCTTCCTTAGATAATCCTAAATATTGGATTCAGTCCCAGTTTGCATGTATTAATACCAAAAGCCATTTTTAGGTGATTTCAAAATGCACCTGGAATTTGTAGGGAAAGCCTTGGATTTGTTAGGTTTTTTTAAAAGAAATCCCTTCGCAAGGCCAATCAAAGGGTAAAGGACAAAAGCGCTCTCCTCCAGGGCAATAACTTCCACCATTATGCCCGGGAAAACTTGCCAGAACTGGTTAAAAAATGTCTGATTTCACAATTCCACCTCTAGAGTTTCTGAATCTTTAGGGCTAAGGTGGGGCCAGGGAGACCCGCCCAGGTCTGAGGTTTGTCTGCACAACCAATTGAATATGGCAGGTTGGTGGCCCCCCAATAGCTGTGACCTTGAAGCAGATAGAAAGAATGCTCTTTTGGACACCAAAAATGTCCAGGAACGTGAAAGGGCGGGGAGAGGATGGGACAGGACGGCGGGCTAAGTCTCAGAAACCCAGGTCGTGTCTGCTCCACAGCGTTTGCTAGGGCGTGGCTGGCACGACTTCTTCACCGGAAATGAAGCTGCAGACGCGCCTGCTCTGCGATGGTCCCAGGGAAGGGACACATGTCCGTTGCACCTAGAAGTCATGTCTCATGTTGGATCGCAAAGCTGATGGGCGCCGCAGCGGTGCGCCACGGGTCAGAGTGGACCCTGGATCAGGGTGGACCTCGGACCGCCCCTCCGTGGCAGCTGGAAAGGGGGTCGCCACATACAAAGCGTGGGGCGTGGGAAGGTGGCAGGAGAACAATTCGGGCCAGCAGGGCCCACCAGATGGGAATTTACTCCGCCAGGAGACGGGGTGCTGTGCGCTCCGGGGTTCTAGATGACAAGGGGCGACGAGGGGGGCTGGGTTTCCAGGTGCTCACAGAACGGCCTGGAAGGAGGAATGTGCTCACTCTCGTTCCATCGCCACTCCGGGCCCCTCCCAGGACGCTCCTGGGCCCCTCCCTGGACATCCGAGCTCAGATGTCGCGCCTCCCGCCCACCGCTCGCGAGGGGCACCACCTCCCGTCCCCCCCGGGGACTGCACTCGCTCAGACCCGATCAGCAGCGCCCACCCTGCAGGACATGGCAGGGCGTCCACTGCGCGGGAAGCTAGAGGGTGATCGCGCCCAGGGGCCGTGGGAGACCCCGCTGACCGCCCACCCCTCCCTTCCCCCGGGCCTCTCCAAGCACCCCCCTCCCCGGGGGGCCCCCCGGCCGTGCTCACCGCCTTCATGGCAGAGGCCATGTCGTCATAGCGCTCCGCCTGCTCGGCCAGCTTGGCCCGCTGCAGCAGCTGCTCCCGGTCCCCCATGTCGCCGTGCTCGTGTCGCCTGGCTCCGCGCTGCTCGCTCGCTCGCCGCTCCGGGTCGACGCCGCGCACGCGCACTGGCTCCGGCCGACCTGAGGCTGCAGGCTGCGCCCCGCGTTCTGGCTCCGCCGCCGACACCGCGCGGGAGAAAAGCGCCCCGCGGGCTGGCAGAGGGCGGGCCGGCGCCTGCGCACAGGGAGCCGCTGGGCGGGCGGCGGGGAACGGCGGGAGTGGGGGGTGTCAGGGGCGGAGGGCCGCCCTAACGGTCTATTTCAAGGTGACGTCACCTACTATAAATAGCTGCCACCGCTCGGCCCGCCCCGGGTTGGCGCAGGCGCGCTGCGGGTGCTGCAGCTGCCACTGCAAAGGTGCAAGTGGGCACTGGTGAGCGCTGGGTGGCGACTGCGGGCCCTCGCCTTGCTGGTGGCTGCATTGTTGCAGCTTCACCCGGGGGCGCGCTGCTGAATCTACGTTAGTTAGCAGGCTGACTTCAGAAAAATCCAGAAAGCAAAGCCGCTGCGTGGAGAAGCAGGAGTCGCACAGCTGCTCCGGCCCCGCTGCCGCGCGCCGCTGGCTGATCGCCACACCCTGCGCGCGCGTCTCCGGGGTCTCGGGTGTCCGCGTCCCCGGCTGCAGAACTACACAGACTGTGCCCTCCACGAGGGGAGGCCGCGCAGGAACATTTCGCAGCGCAGACTCCTGGGGCCCGCCCAGGGCTGGGCCTGTCCAAATGTTATCCCAGTTGCTCATCTTCTGTCAACTTGAGGGCGAGCCAGCTAGTGTCCCCGCCTATAAAAGGAGCGGGAGGGACTTGCTCAAGGTTATGTAGCCTGTTAAAAGTAGAGGTGGGGGTTCAAACCCGGGCTGGACTTCCTGCGATGGCAAAGGGGGTGGTGTACGGGCAGACTGTGACGTAAGCACTCTCCCAACTTTGTCATTGGGTACTGAGTGTCTTCCATGCCCTGTTTGACCACCAAGAACATCCTCATGACAACACACGACTCAAATTGGCAAGATGCAGAGGGATACACAGGAAGGGGAGTAGTGGGCTTTTGGAATTTCATTGTATACCGCTGCTGCTGTGTCAAAAAGCTAGAAAATTATGAGGGATGAAAGAAGGAAAATTGATGCCTTTGAGCTGTGGTGCTGGAGAAGAGTATTGAATATACCATGGACTTCTAGGAGAACAAACAGGTTCATCCGAGAGAGAGTGAAACCGGGTTGTTCCTTGGAGGCAAAGATTCTGAGGCTGACAAACTTTGGGTATGTTGCCAGGAGGGACCAGTCCTTGGAGAAGGACATCATGCTTGGGAGGGTGGAGGGACAGCGCAGGAGAGGGAGACCCTGGATGAGATGGATTGACTCAGAGACTGAGATAATGGGGCTAAGTGTGTCAGAGACAATAAGGTTGGTACAGGTTAGTGCAGGATTCCGAGCTGTTGTACATAGGGTCGCTACGAGTCTCAAATGACTCTGGCACATAACAACAACAACCATTGCATATGAGGGAGCTCTGGTGGCCTGCTGGTAAGAAGCTGCTTTGCAATCTTAAAGTCATGCATTTAGAATCTACCAGCTGCTCTGCGGGGGGGTGAGGGGGGGAAAGATTTTGGACAATCTCCTTTCGTGGGAGTCACTGCCTCTGAAAACCCGTTGGAGGGTTGGCTATGTAGGAGTCAGTCCCAGCTCAACAGCATGCAACAACCATCAGTGCGAGTGGGAGTTTAATGTCGTTGTTGCTGTTGTTGTTGGGTGCCTTTGAGTGGTCTGGACACTACCAACCCTATTGGAACCTTGCCTTAATCCTGGACCATCTTCATGATCTGACACTATTGGTACAGAGTAAGAAGCTATTAAATACGGTGTAGCCCCTGCCTTACAGAAGCGTTGATCTGAATGTTCAAGAACCTTGAAAAAATTAGTCGGGAAAAATGTAATATTAGTAAATGGGGTGTAGCCTGGAAAAAGTGTGTGAGGTTTAGAATAAAATTTGAGAGATGATGAGAAGCAGCATGGCTGTGGGAAAGGAGAGTGAGATTGTGGAGTATTTTCAATGCCAAACTGAAGAGATGAAGTTTTCTTCTGGGGTAATTGGGAGTCACTAAAGGTTATTATATACACAGACAAGATTGAAGCTGTCATGGATTTTACTTTATATGGATCCACAATTAACACCCATGGTAGCAGCAGTTGTTGTTGTTATGTGCCGACGAGTAGCGAATCTGTATATAACAGCCCTAAACCCTGCTCTATCCTGTGCCAATCTTACGGTCTCAAACACACCTATCCCCATTACCCCAGTCATTGAGTAAATCCACCTCATCAAGGTCTTCCCCTCTTGCACTGTCCTGCCACCCTCTCAAGCATGATGTCCCTCTCCAAGGCCTGGTCCCACCTTGTAGCATGTCCAAAGTAGGTCAGACAAAGCTTCAGAATCCTTTTCTCCAAGGAGCAGCCAGCCTGGTCTCACCCTCTCTAGGACAAACCTATTTGTTCTTGGGAGACACTGAAGTTTATTATAAACAGAGACAAATTTGATGTTGTCATGGATTTTACTTTTCACGGATCCACAATTAACTCCCATGGAAACAACAGTGAAGAACTCGAACAACATATTGCTTTGGTCAAATTTGCAAAGGACCTTTTTTAAATGCTAAAGAGCAATTAAGCTTGGAAGCAAGAGTGGCATCCACTTCTGTAAATAGCTTGCTTGCCTCTGGAAACCCTATGAAACTGGAGAAAGGATGAAAGTCACACACGCAAGTGTCAAGGACTTTTGTTCATAGGGTCGCTATTAGTCACCTACGACTCAATGGCACTTAACAATACAACAACAAAGAGCAATTAAGGAGTTGATCAGAAGAGTTCAGAGGACAGCACAGGAAGACAAAGTATTACAATGAAATGTGCAAGGAGCTGGAGTCAGAAAATCAAAAGGGTGAACTCGCTCAGTATTTTTAAGCTCAAGGAACTGAAGAACAAATTTAAACCTCAAGTTGAAATACTTAAGGATGCTTTGGGCAGAATATTAAATGATGCAGGAAACATTAAAGGAAGATGGAAAGAGTATAGAGTCATTGTACCAAACGGAATTGGTGGACATAGAGGAATTTCATGAAACAACATATGAGCAAGAGCCTGTGGTGATGAAGTTCAATCTGCTCTGAAATAATTGGCAAAAAACAAGGCCCCAGGAATTGATGGCATACCGATTGACATATTTTAACAAACAGATGATGCCCTGGCTGTGCTCACCAAGTTGTGCCAAGAAATCTGGAGGACAACCATCTGGCCTACTGACTTGAAGAGATCTGTATTTGTTCCCATTCCAAAGAAAGGTGATCCAACAGAGTGTCACATGCAAGCAAGATTCTGCTGAAGATTATCTAAAAATAACTAGAACAGCAAGCACATCAACAGAAAACTGCCTGAAGTGCAGACTGGATTTAGAAGAGGCTGTGGCACTAGGGATATTATAGCTAATGTTAGATGGATCTTGGCTGAAAGCAGAAAGTACCAGAGGAATGTCTATCCATGTTTCATTGACTATGCAAAAGCATTTGACTGTGTGGATCACAACAAACTGTGGCTGAGCTTGAGAGGAATGGGAATCTAAGGACACTTGATTGTGCTTATGTGAAACTTATACTTGAACCAGGAGGCAGTCATCAGAACAGAGCAAGGAGACACTGGATGGTTCAAAATTGGGAAGGGTGTACATCAAGGATGTGTTCTAACTCCGTATATTTTCAATCTATATGCAGAACAGATTATCCGGGAGGCTGGGCTCTATGAGGAGAAATGTGGCATCAAGATAGGAGCTAGACTTATCAACTATCTACATTATGCAGATGACACAACCCTGCTTGCTGAAACTGAGGAGGACCTGAAGCGCTTGCTGCAGAAGGTCAAGGATTGCAGCCTTCAATATGGATTGAAGCTCAATGTCAAGAAAACAAAGTTTCTCACTGCTAGGCCGATTGGCAGCATCATGATAGATGGTGAAGAGATTGAGATTGTTGACAGCTTTAGTTTGCTTGGCTCTATAATCAACACTCTTGGTACCAGCAGCCAAGAAATTAAAAGACGAATTGCACTGGGGAAAGTCTGCTGTCAGAGACTTCTCCAAAGTACTTAAGAGCAAGGATGTCAATCTGGAGACTAAGGTGTGCCTGATACAGGCCCTGGTCTTTGCAATCACTTGCTATGTGTCAAAGAGCTGGACAATGACTAAGGACAGTTGATGCCTTTAAACTTTGGTCAGAAAAAAACAGCCAGACCCTCAATGAAGTGGACAACACAATGGCTGCAATAATGGTCACAGATTTTGAGGCTAGCACAGAATCAGGCAGGTTTTCTTTGTGTTGCACATAGAATTGCTATGATGCAGATAGTTTCATTCACCTACTAACCAAAAGATTAGCGCAGTTCAAACCCACTTGGTGGTGCCACAGAAGAAATGCTTGGTGATGTGTTGTAAGAATTACAGCCAAGAAATCCTTATGGAGCAGTTGTAGAGTTGTTGCTATATACTGTCCAGTTGGAATCAACTCATAGCTGATCCTCCAGCAGGTTTTCAGAGATAATAAATCACAAGGGACTTGAATGCCCATATTTCTCCCATGGAGCAGTTGGTGGATGTGAGCCCTTGCCTTTGGGTTGGAAGCACAGCTCCTCACCACTCTATCACCAGAGCTCTCTTCCAACTCTTATAGGTTGTGTTTTTCTGATTGTTATGGCTTGAATTGTGTTTCACCAAATAGAGAGACTAAAGTGCACCTGATCCAGGCCATGGTCTTCGCAATTACTTCCTAAGCTTCACAAAGCTGGACAATGACTAAGGATGACAGAAGAATTGACACCTTTGAACTGTGGTGCTGGAGAAGAGTCTTGAACATGCCATGCACCACCAGGAGAACTACCTGATCTGTCCTGGGGGTGAAACCATGTTGTTCCTTAGAGGCAAGGATTCTGAAGCTCCATCTCACATACTTCAGGCATGTTGCCAGGAGAGACCAGTCCTTGGAGAAGGACATCATGCTTTGATGG